GCACTCTGTTGCACTAAGGCTACCTGATCCTCATGTGACATTGTCAAATCAAGGAGACCTCCATGCTACATACCTGCTACTTCTAGGGGAGTGTACCATTCTTCCAGAAGCAGAAGAATTCTAATCCACCAGACCTGAGAGCCACCTTCCCATATATTTAGAATTCAGTTTTGGTTTATTGACCCTCATCCTGTCAAGGTAGAGTTTAAGAGGTCTTCTCCTTCTGTTGAATGTGCTTTGGATCACTTCCTTGAGTTTTCTGGAACTCATGTTCTGCAGACACCATAATGTGCTGCACTCTATTTGCTCCTGGTCTGCATACTTTAGTTTGGATTACGTGGCATAATTTGTGAGAGGTTGAACTTGTGGGTTCCTGTCTCGGGAATGGGATCCTGGTTTGGATGTCTAGTTTAGATTCCGCCTTTCCCCTTAAACTCAGCAAGTTCAGTTTAATGTTGAAATTATGATTCAGGTATGTTAACATTGTCAGGGAATTGTGTACAGTAATTACATTTGTCTTCAATCTCTAATCTGCCCTCTGCTGTAGCATTTTTTTCCAACCTCAAAATAATGTGGTATAAATTCCATTTAAACATGTTCATTACCCTTTGTGTTTGTAACTCTTATTTCATTGGACCCCTGGTTTGGAAAATATAATAATGCTAGATTAAGTGTATGGCTGCACAAATAAACTTCCTGTATGCATTAGCCAGCTTTAAACTTACAACCCAACACTACTGCATTCACATAAAGATATACGAACGGAGTTACATTGGTGTCTTATGAAAATTGCAAACACATGTGCATTCAGAGAGAGAGATACACACACACACACACACACACACACACTCTCACTTGTGCTCTGGGGCATATATGCATGCATGTTTGTTGAGTTTTTGTAGGATCTGTCTGTATCCTCAGGTATGTGCATCTTTATTTCCTTCTTGCGCAAATCAGGTATATTTACAACAACCATAATTCCTCACCAGATTTCTGCCATCTATTAAAGCTAGTAGGGCAAGTATGAATGTGAATATTTATTAAAACTAGCAGATTAAGATCCAAAGAGATTCAAGATATCTTTAATCGTCTTCAGATATGATTTCTGTAAATGGTACCTGTATATTACAAGGTAGCATTCTGTAAAATGTACAATTTTGTTATTCACTGCAAACACAACTTATGTAATTATGCACCTTGTTACTCATTTGTAACAAAGTCCTTTTTCATAATTTGTGATAAAATTGTTTCAAAACTATTTTTTTGGTTATAGAGGCAAATTCGTGTATTCATTCATCTCTCTGCATGTTATTTGTTGTATATGCTAAAAATGTTTAAAACAATCTATCATTTGTATCAGGGTTTATAATCTGAATAACAATTAAGCATTTAAGTATGGAATTGCATTCATACATTCACTTGGCTATCTATGTTTCAGTTTCACAAAAGGTTTTGTTTGTTTTTTAACCAGTGGAGCATAGATAGCTGTGAAGCTATCAATTTGAATAATTTAATGGCTTCTTTGTTTCTACAAAGTTAAAAATCATGAGATGGCAAAATAAATTATTCTGAAGTCTGTTTTGTCTTAAATTTCTTTTTATTTGAATATGTTAAAATGATCCCTTTAGATATTTTCAAAGCTCTGTTTTTTATAGTTTGGTCTCAATGTTAAATTGAAGATAAAAAACCCTAGACTTTTGGTTGTTGTTGCTAGATTTATTAGCTCTTTGTTTTCCATGCAGCTAACATGTGGTTAAATGTCAAGAGGCTACATGTTTAAGCAATGACTGATTTCACTTCATATTTTTATTTGATTTCGCAATTCAAAGGAAAGAAGCATGCTGATAAGCACAATGGCAGCATAACTGCAGGTTTAACTTTTCTTTCTTTTCTTTCTTTCTTAAAAAAAAATGCTTTCTGCTACTAAATACCAGGAATCATTATAATTGCAGTAGGCATGTTTGTGTGCCTTTTCTCTGACTTAGATACAGAACACTCTTTGATTTCTGGAATTTGACAGTCTGTGGCTGGCTGCACACGAGCAAGCAAGTGTGCCTTCACAAAAACACACTTTACTGTGCCACATCTCAACTACACTGTAGTCCTACCCAGGGTCATTACAGTATACACTTTCCATATTTCTAACAAACATGAAAATGAACAGGACAGGAAGTAGATAGAGAAAGAATAACTGAAGCCTGGTAGGGGTATACAACATGAACAGACGAGGCTCCGTGCTAGCCTTCGGAATACTTAAAAGCCCCAACCCATTTGCTCCTCAGTGCCTGCCTTTGATTATCAGAGCCACATAAAGAGAAAACTTAAACAACTAGTACATTGAAACAATGATTTGGTATAAATCCAGAGATAATTGTTTTTCAAGTGATGTTTAAACCAATGCCAGTGCAAGGCGCAAAAGTATCTGGCCTATTGCCAGCACTGTTGTAAAGCATATTAGCTCAGATGAGAAGTACTTCAAGTTAGAGTCAGAGAGTGAGAGAGAGCAGGAGCGACACTGTTCCCTGTGCTTAGACTCTGCTCAGTTATATCTTCCTCCTTGCTGGGACTAGCTGGATACATGCATACTCAGATCTGTTAGCCAGAAAACATGGGCTTTGCCCTATTTCAAGCTGATTTCTGCTCTTTTTTCAGGTGGATTGCCAGCTGCTGATTCTTCTTCTAACACCCTACCAAGATATAGCACCCTCTCTGCCACTAACAATGACCATGACCCTTCACACAAAAACCTCCAGTGTCGCTTTACTGCACCAGATACAAGGCAATGAACTAGAGCCTCTCAGCAGACCTCAGCTGAAGATTCCTCTGGAGCGGCCGATTAGCGAAATGTATGTGGACAGCAGCAAAACTGGAGTTTTCAACTACCCAGAAGGTGCCGCTTATGATTTTTCCACTACTGCTCCGGTGTACAGCTCACCCAGCCTCAGTTATGCCCCTACGACAGAGTCATTTGGGTCCAGCAACTTGGGAGGATTTCATTCTTTGAATAATGTTCCTCCGAGCCCTGTTGTGTTCTTACAGACGGCACCTCAGCTTTCACCTTTCATTCATCACCCCAGCCAGCAGGTACCTTACTACCTTGAGAACGAACCGAACAGCTTTGCGATGAGAGAAGCGGCCCCAACAGCCTTCTACAGGTAAGTCATGCCACTGATTTATTTGAAACAGAGCAGGTGTATAAAACAGTGTTTAAAGCAGGGAGAGAGAGAGAGAGAGAGAGAGAGAAGTGTGATTTCTTTCTTTCTGGGGAGTTATGCCATCAGAATTGTTGAGTCACCGCTGAATTATTCGACTCAGCGATAGTGTGGTGTAAATCAAAATGTCTGTTGTGACGGTTGGGTAATTGTTGCTGTGTACGCTAGAAGCGAAATGCATATGAAAAACAAGTTGGGCTGCCTTGGGGAGGGAAAACAACCCTGAAGCCCAAAATAGTGAGCTAGGACAGGACAAAACGAAACGCTAGCAAATTCAGATGGAAGAGCAGCTGTAATGCAAGAGTTTTTTGAATTATATCAATCTGTTCCTTCTATATGTTTACATGTTTGAACGTTAAGTCCGTGGACAGAAAGATTTTTCCACGTCTGCCCTTACACTGCATCAATTGACTTTTATATGAAGTGTTCAGAAAATTAGAGGGTTGCCCTTCCAAATAGTTGTGATTAACTTAAAGATGGTTCTTCAGTCATAAAGAAGCTTTTAGAAAGTGCACCTAAGGCCACGGAGGGGAAATAAGGTAGTCCTAACAATACTTGTGTGCGCACACTCAGTCAATGGTGTGTTTTAAAAGATCGGCTTCTCAGATGTTTTTTCTCTGTAACTTGTAGTACACTAAGAGAAGTCTCAGAGCTGATAAGATTTTTTTTTATAAAAAAAATCCTTTCCTTTCGGAGAATGAGGGGGAGTAGCATACATTGGCGCTTTAATAGGCCTGCATCTATAAAGAGATTTTAGGGCTCTTTGAACTTGCTGGGGGAATGTGGCTGGTACAATGGTGACAGAAATCATAAAAGCATGAAACAGAAAGTATTGCTTAACTCTCCCACCAACTATATAATTTATTATGTTGACTTTCGTCGAATCAAGCACAACTTGCACACACATGCATCAGTAATGAAACTAAGTGGAGGATCCAGAGAGGGATTGAAACACCACTTATTATTATTATTGCAAATAATACTCTAAGATGCACCTCTTCTGCATTTGTGATCACATTTGGGGATCTGTTCCAAGAATATTGGGAGCATAATTCTGCAAAATAGTTTGCTGCATTGACGTGAATGTGCTTTCTGCTCTACTTGAGATTTCCTTGCTGGTTCCTAGAAATCCAAGGATGCCTGAGCAGCAAACAGACTGTAAAACCAGAAGTAATAATTCCTGCAATATTTATAATTTGTTATTTGCCATACTTACACCTTCAAACGCAGAACCTATTGCTGGATTTTAGCCATGGCATGTGTTTTGGTTATGTATTGCCGCAGAAGCCCAAAGTCACTCGCCAAAGTCTTGCTGAGCCTGTTTTAAAACACACAAACAAACATGTTCCATGAGACATAAAAACAGATAACTTTGAACTGTTGGGGGAAAGTGCGGTTAAGTTACAACAGTGCCAAAGAGATTAGAACAAGTGTACAACCAACATGGAACCACTGTGGGCTCCTTTAGAAGAAAGCGCAGGATGGAAATTTAATGATAAATAGATAAATAGAAGGAAATGGAACATAAACTGACCTAGCAGGTTCCTAATACATTCCTCTAGGGGAGATTACAAGAAGATTAAAAAGGCCACCCACTAGGCCTACTAGGGCATGAGATGCTGCTGAGTTTGCAGCCTGCCACATATCAGAATGAAGAATGTACTGTCTGGAAGATGTTGTTTGCCTAAACTGGAAAATAACAGCTTTATACTAAATTCAGGTAGGTAGCCGTGTTGGTCCGACGCAATCGAAATACATAAAAAATTGTCCAGTAGCACCTTAGAGACCAACTACGTTTGTTCTGGGTATAAGCTTTCATGTGCATGCACACTTCTTCATATATACACTTCTTTAGGTATACACTTCTTTAGGTATACACTTCTTCAGATACACGTTTCTGAAGAAGTGTGCATGCACATGAAAGCTTATACCCAGAACAAACTTAGCTAGTCTCTAAGGTGCTACTGGACAATTTTTTATTTATTTTGAGCTTTATACAAAGCCACAGAATAGTGACAACAAAAGTAGTTCTTGAGGAATAGCCATCTATTACCAACTTTTGTGACTATATAATATACACAAAGTTATTTGCAATTGATTTCTCTTGGTGTTTTGTGAAAGCTCCAATGATGATCATTCCATTTAGACAAAATCATTTTAATAGTACTTCATATATGTAGAGAGAGAAAGAGAGATAGTGCTAAAAACTCAGACATAAAGACTACAGGGTTTTTTTCAGTCATGGAGTGAATGGAACTGCCACACAGCTCCTGCTTTCTGTGTTTACTATATTGCTTAACATGACTTCAGTAGAATTAGATAATGGTTCACTAAGCCTAGTATGGTTTGGCTTCTTTAGCCTCAGTTCCACTAGACTTGAGAGAAAATAAAATATTTAGTTTTCAACTGTGTTATCTTGTAGAGTTCATAGTGGGATATAATTTTTCATTGTGGCCTTAAGGTGGCATTTAAGTTACGATGGAGCATTTAATTTTTCTATGGATTGCCCAAATGAGGTGATATCAGCATTCAAAAAAGAATTGGAGGTATATTTTGGCTAGTGTTATTCTTCTTTCTCTTTGGACTTTTCGGAGGAACTGTATTCTGGAAAATACAGTGTGTTTGGTAGTATGCCTCTCTTTTTGTCCAAAAACCTTTCAAGCATTTTACGCTCTCTTTTTTCATTGTGTTTTAAAAATAAAATGTTACTTCTACTTTTAAAATATTGCTCTATTGCAAAATTTTATTACTGTGCTTTAACAGACACTGTAATAGTAGAAATACTCTTCACTTGATATTATAAAAATAGCATTTTAAAAGATTAGTAGCCGCATCTATATACACTTTAAATTAATGCATGTTGAAATTCTACATGTGCTTACTCAGAATTTGGTCCCGTTGAGTTGCGTAAACATTACTGATAAGGAAGAATGCATAGGCTTGCAGCCTCTTCATATTTTAAACACACTGTTTAAAAACTCCCTATAATTTTTTCAGCTATAAATGATCAAAAATATTGAATTAAATAGTTTAGGTTTCTTAAAAGAATTGCTTATGATATTTAAGTTTGTGGTTAGGTCTCTTACAAGTTAGCAAACCGTCAGTGGTCTGGACTCTTTTCGTATATTTTTCTAACACTACAATGTAGATTTATTTCCATTTGTGACTCAGCCCGCAAGTAAGTCTTACTGAACCACTTAGTTTATCAATGGCTGTAAATATGTAAACAGTTGAGTGAGACTTCTGAGTAGGCATGCATAGGTTTGTACTGCTACTCTCTAGTGTTTAAGATGTTATAATGTTCAAGACGTTAACTATGCTTACTTGGAAGTAAGTTCCATTAGTTTTAATGGAAGAATTTTTTAGATTGCAGTGTTATATGCTAAATTCTCATACAGTTTCAATCTCCTTACTAAAAGCATCCCCCTGGGAATTTTATTTTTTTATTTTTTTAAATCTGTACACAGGGAGTTGAAGCTAAGATACTGTAACTTTTAGCTAGTTAAGGACTGAGTTGGCACTTGAACTTGTTTGACTGAGCCCTGCATGGCAGGCATTGAGTAACAAAGCAGGCAATTTAGCATTGCATAGAGCTGTAAAGAAGACGATTTCAGTTGCCACCACTTAGCCCTAAACAGCACTAGAAGTTTACTATGGTAACTGAATGCTCACGAATGACCGTGGAAGGGAAGGTTAGAGTAAATTCATTCATTCTTTCATACTAAAAACACTGACTGTGGCAAATACATTTTTAGTTTTATTACTGGGATGCCTTTTGGTCTGCATTGCGAGAAGCTCTTCAGCTGTTTCCAGCCTGGCATTCTGAACTACAACCCCCATTATTTATGCTGGTAAAGCTGATAGGAATTGGAGCCTTAAGACATCTGAAGGGCATTCAGTTGGGCAGGACTGGGATATAGCCTTGTGAAAAATGAGGGTACAGTTCTTACAAATATGATTTTACAACATGTCCCAGCTGTAGATATATAATAATCTGATTTACATACTTGCCTGATGTGTGTGCCATGTGCAAAGGTAACATCTGATGTATTGCCACCCTCCTGAAATTTTTCTGTGAGCAGAAATTGCTTCTTTGAAGCCTGCAATTACATCTTCGCTCTGATAATTGGCAAGGATAGTGTTGATCAATATAGTTGAATGTTGCTTTTAAAGTTTCCCTGTGTTTAGAGTACTAGAAACGGTTCTGCAGAAGTTTGTTCTTGGCTGCAGCAAAGCAAAGAGTAGTCTGGCTTCCACGAGGGCATGGCTTTCCTCCCCTGCTTGCACAATCTGAATGAAAGTGGAGGAAGAAGCAATAAGGATAAACTATTTTCAGTTCAGATAATGGGCGCTTTCATTGACATGCTTCATTTTATTCCAGTTAGAATCCCCCTTCTCTCCTCATTCTTGTCAGTGCATTATAGCTCATTGTTATTGTAAAGATTGAGGACTGGTGTTACTCCTTGAACTTTACATTCAAGAGAGCAGGCACGGAAATACAGAGCATTCATGGCCAACAGCTTTCCTCTGCTAGGGTCCTCACTTCACCTCTGCCACTTGGTAGCTTTCCATTGCTCCCTGATCCCTAGAACTCATGGGTGCTATTGTATGTCACCCCGATGTTCGAGCAGTGCGAGATTCCAGGGGTTCCAGGTCCTTTCCCTGGGTTCGTGTTTCCTTTTGGACTATGAGGCAGAGTGGAGACTGTAGTGTCTTTATGGTATATGGTTTATTTACACACCTATACAACCTGGCCCTACAGTGGAGGGGTTCACAGCATTAACACACCAAAAGGGTCTTGTTTCTCCCATAGCCACAGCCTTGGATTCAAACAGACATCAGACATTGCTCTGTCTCTCTCTACTCCCAGCTTGCTGCTTTACATCTGGCCCATGTCACTACAACTTTCAACTCTTGCATTTGTCTTTTTCTAACTACCAGCCCCACCCATTTGTCACCTCACACAGATCCGTTTCCTTTGTTTCCCCATCACCCAGGCAATCACCTCACCAAGAAGCTAGCCTGGCTTATATTCTAACACTTGCAGGATCCAGGGGTTAGATGGGTCTCTGCATACAGCCTACTTCCTCTACCCAACACAAACAAGTGCCTGCTCCACATCTCCCCACGTTTGGACTGGCAGACTACTTGTCTGCCCTATACTGCTGCTAGTGGTATTTTTAGCTGATTGCCCAAACCTTTCTTTACATCCAGTGTCTATCCTTTCAACGATGCGCTTGCAACTCTCTCTGAGCAGTATGAGGAGCATGTTACAGATGGGGTCAAGGTAGAGAAGACCTTCTTTTGTAATCCAGCAGAATTGCGACTAGAAAGCTCAGCGTGGCTGAATGTGCTCATGCTGTTAAAGCAGCCCAAATGCTTCTGTATCCAGCTGAGCTAAATAGCCACTTATAAAAACCCTTCAGTGCTCACAGTAACAGGTTAGAATAACTTCTCTACCTATTTATGCATTGCCAGATTGAGAAGAGACTGATATAGGAGTTACATCTTCTGGCCTTGATGTTGACCTTGATCTCAGCTGGCAATTATTAAAATCCTTGTTGCCTTGCACTCTAATGTCACCTTTAAGCCTTTGCAAGCCATCTGTCAAACAATACAAAAGTTTTTCACACTACACTGTTGAGTCCTTGCACACTGATTGAGTCCACTGGTATAGACAGTCTGTAGCTGATACCCTAGCTGAAAAAAGTAACAGAAGATATTATTACCAATTAATTATCATTGCTCAGGGGAACAAGAAAGCTATTGTTATGGATCCGCTTTACCAGAAGCAGTGAAAAGAGTGGGTACACTGTGTGCTCTCTGGTGGCTCTCTTAACAGTTGTAGTGTAGCGTGTCAACACTGGTTAAACTGCTAGTGAAATAATGAAAAAATGAAGCATGCTATTTATGTGTTTTAGAATATATTCAGTTCTGTTTTGGAAATTATTTGCTTTGGGCGCTATAAACTGGTAAAAGATTCATAGTTGACTCATCATCTGTTTTTAAAAGCATTTTTTTTATTCTTATGAACATGATCCAGTTTCTTCCGGTGAAACTAATTAGATTGAAGTGCGCTTAACCTTAGCCAGATTGTGGTCTAATTGTTTAAATTTCAACTGTTTTGCATAAACAGATCTCAATATATATGCTTTTTTGAGGATGTGGGATTATTTTGTTAAGTTACATTTTATGAAATATACTACAAAACATGGATACTTCCCCCACCCATTACTAATAAAAAGATAAAAGTATGCCAGTTTGTGAGACACGTATAGGCTAAAAAGGCTGGCTCTAGTACTCGGCAGAGAGAGGTGGGCACCTCGGGTGGCAGAACTGGTGGTGTAGGACAGAGCTGTTTGCCATACAGCATGTCTTGCACCCGCTAAGCCTGCCAGCTATCTGCAGGAATGGTGGAGAGAGTGGTCCCATCGCCAGTATTGAAATAAGGTTTATGTGCTAGTTTGTCTGCGTTCAGCACATAGAAGACGGGCGCCATCTTCCTCAGGCAGCAGGACTGTGTTGGTGATGTACATCAGAGGCGGGACCAGAGGGGGGGCAAGGGGGCAAGTGGCCCCCCAAATAAGGAGCTGACCCCTCACTTGCCCTCCTTTCTACATTCCTTTCATTATCATATGATGTAGAAATATATTTTGCCGCTTCTACTTTTTCGACCACTCCTGGTGCCGCCTCTGGTGTGCACTGCCATTAATAGCATCCATTTGGCTGAAGCAGTGCAGCCTGTTTTACTTGGAATGTGACTTTTCACAGCTCTTATATAATGAATTTTAAGTATGATGGGCAAAATTTATATAGCTAGCTGGAATATTTTTTGCTCTCTCTCTGTCTCAAAATAGAGTTAAGGTAGCATAATAGCTGTGACTGAGCTGTACATCTGTGAACCAAATCAGTGGTTCAACTCTCACTTCTTGCACATTTCAAAGGGAAAC